GTTTCAGGCAGGTCTGGTTCTGCCCTTATCACTGATTTTGTTGAAGAAAAGACATAAGCATAGTAAGAAAGACAAAGCATTTTTGCTAGTTGAGTTAAGGGTAGCTTTACAGAAAGATTCCTACTATTGCTTTCATGTACCCATGTGTTATGACCCATGTTGATTCAACTCTAACTGATACTTACATTGGTTCCTGGTCCCCTGCTCATGATAAACTGTCCTTTTAAGGTTTCTGTATTAATTCCTCTGGAGTGGAGACATCAAACGCTTTTATGTTTTGGGTTTTCTACCTCCTCCTATATCTCCCGTATGTGCTCTCCTCTTTTCTTGTGATCCAGCTCCAACCACATTGCTGCATTTGCCCTAGATCTAAAGTCCGCATATGAGGGAGAACATACGATTTTTGGTCTTCTGAGCCTGGCTGACCTCGCTCAGAATGATGTTCTCCAGTCCCATTCATTTACCTGCAAATGATAAGATTTCATTCTTCTTCATGGCTGAATAAAATTTTATTGTGTATAAATACCACATTTTCTTGATCCATTCATCAGTAGTGGGGCATCTTGGTTGTTTCCATAATTTGGCCATTGTGAATAGTGCTGCAATAAACATGGGTGTGCAGGTGCCTCTGGAATAACCTGTGTTGCATTCCTTTGGGTATATCCCCAAGAGTGGGATTGCTGGATCATATGGCAGGTCTATGTTTAGATTTTTAAGAAGTCTCCACATTTTTTTCCAGAGTGGTTGCACCAGCTTGCATTCCCACCAGCAGTGGATTAGGGTTCCTTTTTCCTCACATCCTTGCCAACACTTGTTGTTGGTGGTGTTTTTGATGATGGCTATTCTAACAGGGGTGAGGTGGAATCTTAGTGTGGTTTTGATTTGCATTTCCTTTATGGCTAGAGATGGTGAGCATTTTTTCATGTGTTTTTATTGGCCATTTGAATTTCTTCTTTTGAAAAAGTTCTGTTTAGCTCAGTTGCCCATTTCTTAATTGGTTCATTGATTTTAGGAGAGTTTAGTTTCTTAAGTTCCCTGTATATTCTGGTTATCAGTTCCTTGTCTGATGTGTAGCTGGCAAATATTTTCTCCTACTCTGTGGGTTTAGTTACCTTTTGAACATACTTAGTTGAGATTATGCCATCACTTCCACCAGTAGCCTCATCTTTATTAACAGAGCCAACAGGATATGAAGATGAAGCAGGATATGCTGGTTCCACCCTTTAGAGAATTTTATTTTGTCATAAGCAGATAGGTAGACAAGAACAGGAAATAAAAAAAAATTCCAGGATATAAGACTCCACTCTAAAACCCCAAGATGGGGAGATACTATGTTCTCATGTATGAAAATGGAAAGATGAGACCTGTTGAAACTATTCTAAGGATAGGGCAGAGGGCCTAAAGGAGAATGATGGGAGGAGGAATTTAACTAAGATGTGTTGGAAACAACTTTTGTAAATGTCACAATGTACCCTCCCCAGTACAGCAATAATATAATAATTAAAATAAGATAAAACCCCAGATGGCCCATGCCATTGATTAAGATAATGGTCCTATGTCCTTATGAGCCCTGTCTCCATTTCAAGTTTAAACTGGGAAGGGCATCTTTGATTCTCTTTGATCACATGGGAAGTTGCAAATCAATGTGCAGTCATGGAGGTGCATGCCTTTCCACACTCGGCATCCTCTTTGCAATGGCCAAACCATTTGGGGGCGAGCTACAGGGAAGGCCATCTTATTAACTAAAACCCCAAGCCCCACAGCTTCCTCCTAGTCAAGCTTTACCTGAACTGCCTGCCTCATCCCTTGAGGTGCACTATCCCTGTTCAGGCAGCTGGACTCTGTTCAAACTGCCCACCTCCCTCCTCAAGGTATAATCTCATCTTTCTAGTAAATCATCTTCATTATCTTCTTACTCTTCATGGTTCTTTTGCTGCACCTGGGAAAGGATCCTATCTTAGGTGTTGTACCCAAGAGCCAAGGAGTATATGGAACACTCCAAACACTAATAACAATTACATGGTAAACTTGAAGAGTGCCACGGGGTCTCTGTTTTTATTTGTCTTGACAGTATGCTTCTTTGACTAAAGACCAAAAGGAATGCTTTTGGCAGATAGGATTGAAATGAAGGAGCAAGAATTCTGCCTGAAGAGCTGACTCAATAATAATGGGGGCTAATGATCTTAGGATCTAGTTATCTTAAGAGGACCAACCTATTTGTGCATAGAAAAAGGACAGAAGCACAAAGAGCAAAGTGTTGTTGTTGGATCTCTCTTCATGTGAACAATGAGGCGAAGTGATGTTTATTTTTTTCCTTGTTAGTCTTTGCTTTACATTTTTCCTACAAAGGGCATTTAAGTATTATTTTCATGTGACAGGGTGGGCGGGGAACCTTAGTAATGCTTTTGAAGTAAAAACAGTGAGATATATGTTCAGTGTAAGTCCATCTTTTTCTGATCTAGTTTTGTTGTACCTGTCTCTTTGCATTCTTTTCGTGGGAAAGGGATTCATTTTGTCTGTGACAGTTCTGGTGTTTTGACTGCAGTGGAGCTAGTCAAGGGTACGATCTGGAGGCTTGATGCTGGCTGCATGGAGAAAATAAGTGTAATGAGTTCTAGAGGAGAGAAATAAAGTTCTCAGTAGAGGATTAGATTCAGCTCCTTCTGTGTCCTCTCCCCAAATGACACAGCACAGGCCTTCAAAAGTCTTTTATAGGATCTCCCATTCTTCTTCTTAAAAAGGCTAAAATAAACTTTAAGTTAGTTTAGCTTTAAACTAGTTTAGAAAAAGTTGGAAAAGATTAAAAAATGAGAGGACAAGTGGTATAACTCATGGTGGAGCACATGTTTAGCACAAGGCCTTGGGTTCGATCCCCAGCAACAACAAAAAAATTAAATTAAAAATTAAAATTAAAGGAAAAAGTGAGAGAACAGTAACAATCACAGCCCGTTAGGGAAGTGGGGAAGCCTTGTACATCTGAACATCTGTTGCAACTTCCTCTGTGGTTGGGCTCCTCAGCACCCAGACTGCCTGTGTCCATTAGGACAGCCCAACCAGAAGGAAAGTGCCCACTGTGGTAGGAGCCATCTCATAAACCTGACCCCATCCAGCCAGGGTATATGTTCAGAGGGCAGCAACATATGTCTCTGTGGGTATGATGTGTATGATTAACATATAAACTTATTTTCAACAATTAAAAAAAGACCTTCTTTAAGTCACTTTCTTTTGTTTGCTTCTGATAACTGGAAATGGTCAAAGTTGATAGGCATCTAGTTTACTCTTGGCAAAGCTTTCCAAGGAAACTCTAGGACTCTACTGACACCTACTGGTATTTATTCTATTTCATGTTTAAAAAGAACACCGAACACAACAAGCATTAACATCGTTCTTCTTACAGTTATTTGGTCTTCTTATGCTAAGTGTACTTGACCTGACAGATAATAGAGAGAAGGAAAGGCCTGAAGGGACCTTTTCCATGTTATAGAAGGAGTGGTATGGACAAGTCATTGTGTGAAAATATGATACGAAAATACGATGTGGAGAGCGGACTGCAGGATTTTTACTACCCTTGTGCCCTAGTTGCTCTGTGACCTTGGGCTAGGTCTTTGACCTTGCTTTCATTGTTGCAAGGCAAAAAAAAAAAGCAGGAACCTTCCCTCCCAGTACCCTTTAGGGCCTCTGAAGATGTTGGTGGCATTTGCTATTAATTAAAACATGGACCCTGTCACTGGAGTGATGACCTCAGAAGTCATTCTAATAAACAAGATTCTTCACCAGTGCACTATTTTCAAAAGACCCGTGAAAGTTGTTTATGCCTCCCCAAAGCCCACCATGTGTGGAATTTATTTCTAGAAACACTGAATTAAAATGATCAAAAAAAAACAGTGACGTTCTCATTGACTTGTCTGTTTGTGTGCCCTAGGAAACTATGGATTTTGTTTTATGTTTTGGAACATGTAGCAAGTCTTCAGGTTGAAAAAATGCGTCCGAGTTAATGCCAACCAAATTATTTGTGCTTTTTCTGCCTGCTCTTGGGAAACTCTGTGTGGGTTTGTGGTTTGTTAGGCCAATAACAGGATATTTGATAATCTCCAGGGGGCTATAGTCCATATTTAGCCTGACAGAGGAAGAGAGGTCTGGTGATGAAAAATAAGTGAGGCTCTTCTTTAATGCTACTGTTTCATTTCTTCCTCCTCCCTCAGAATCCTGACTTTCCCATTATAGTTACTGAGGCTTTCGAAGCTATTTCCAGTTGTCAGAAAATGGCCTTTGCTAGATACAAAAAGAAATTTACCTTTTATTCACTGAGAAAGCTGTCAGAAATTACTGGAGCACAAAAGAGTTCATTTAAAAAAAAAAACCTGTTAGATTCTATTTAAAAGCATAAAATAACAAGTATTGGCAAGGATGTGGAAAAATTAGAACCCTTGACATGTTGATGGAGTCCAAGTCCTTATACAGAAATTATGTGAACACATCACTGCTTGTTTTGGGTGCCCTGACAATCCAGGACTCTTAATTTTTAAGGATTTGTTGGAAAACACAGATAGGTAAGAAATGTAACAAGCCCGGATTAAAAGAATCACACAATACAAGTGAAGAAACTAAATCCTCTAACATGAATAAATATCCATCAGCAGGTAGTGTATACTATTGCTTAGAAAGAAACAAGGTTGCCAGCAACTGAAAGAGGGCTTATATCTAAACAGACTGCAAACAGAAAGCTTAACAAGTCAATCAGTGGGCAACATTCCTTTGAGGCAACCCAGTATTTTATGACACTATTGATGCCACATTATCTCTATGGAAAGAATGAAAACTGTTTATTAAAGAATAAAATATGAGCATGAAAAACGTAGATAGCTATGTGGCAGGAAGGAGATAAAAGCAAAGTTTATAGTTTTTTACAGTAAATGAATACAGACTGTCTCATAAAAACCCCCATATTTGGCTGCAGTGGATTTGTTCACCAAGAACACTTTTTTTTCTTTCTCTCACAGCAATGGGTAGAAGGCCTGAGATCAATCATACACAACTTCAGGGCAAACAACGTCAGTCCAATGACATGCCTCAAGAAACAGTGAGTTTTGTTTGTATCACCCTTTGTTCTTAGAAATTATCAAGCAAATGGTGTGATTAGGATATGACAGCTACACCATCTGTGGCCAGGCCATTTCCTGCCTGCCTTTCCCTCCGTGTTCCTGATCTTAGAGAATGAGTTGACTAATACATACCTGCTCTCTTCGTGGGAGAACTCACATCTCAAATCCCACATTAAAAAAGTGATCAATGGCCAAAAGTTACTGGAACCTTAATAACTCAATATCCTATGGGTTTCGAGCATTGGCTTTTGAGTCCCTAGCTGAACCTTCTGATAGATAGCTCTTATGTGCCTGGGACTGTAATAGCTGGACAATGGAGTGGTTCAGTCCTCTGCTACATGCAACTGAGAAATGGGGAGTGTAGGCAAGAGGAGCATTTGCCAAAAAAAACACATTCCTCTTCTGCAGATATAAGTGCTTCCTGTTTAGCATGCAGTCAGGAATCCAAAGGTCCTTCTTGAATTTTTTTTCTAAATTTAATCAATCAAGGATCCAAAGGACTTACCCAGCTTACCATCTCTAAAATCTATGGGGGTATTACAGTAGTGGAATTTTAAACCGACTGTCAGGATGATATGAAAGTTCCCGCAAGTAGTTATCCTAGCCAAAGTCAAACGCCAGCCTTTTTGAAAAGCAGTGATCCATAAGGGTTGGGGCTACCTGCCTTCACATAGCCACTGGCAGGCAACTTTGAGGCGCTAAAGGAAACAACACTGAAAAATTGTGGGAATAAGCTTGCATCTCTCAAATCTAGGCCACAGCACCAAGAGTGCACCAGTCATTCATATCTTATCTTATGCCTAGGTCAGTCTCCTAGCACTTTTGGTCCTTACCTCCTGGTCATTTGACAGGTGCTTGACAGTATGACTGCTGGGCTGTCGATCCCAGCTTTCTACTTTAGACAAATTCTTAGCCCCACTGTGCACATCTATGATTCATAATTACCATGTGGATGAAATTGGAAAACACCTAAACAAGCACCTAGCTCCTGCCTTCTCCATTTTGACTTTATAGTACCCATCCTGTTAGTGGAGAGAAGTTATTTAGTAATAAATTGTAAATTCCTATTTGTAACTGATTTTTATTTTCCTTAGCTGTGGCATATTTTCTTAAAGAGAAACCCAGTGAATAATTCAATGTTATGACTTCAAGTAGTGATAATCCCAAGGGATTTGAAGTGACCCAAATATCCATGTAGAGACACTAGATACTGTGTCGTGTCTGGATCCCTTTATGGTGCTCGTGTTCACCCAGCTACCAGCTATTCATCAAGCTCTTAGACTTGACTACTTCTCCAGAGAATTGCTTTCTGCTAAATGGGAGCCTTTGAGCCCACAGCCAATGACAGGCTGAAACAGGGTACACAAGGTCAGCCCCTGTGCTACCAAAGCTGGTGCATATCACAAGATCAAACTAAAGCTCCAACTGGGATGACTTTGCTTCAATGTTCTCCCTGTCAGGTCCTCTCCCTCACTGCCTTTTGTCCTAAAAACTTCCCCTAAGTAATTAGACACTTGGTTTCTAGGAAACTTCTCTTTAGACAGAAATGTTACCAAGTCACGATGTTCTGCAGATTGTTAGACTATATTATTGAACAGTCAGAATGGGAGTCATTAACTAAGAACAGTTCTAGTTTTAAAGTACACATAAATATTATGGGTCCCCATAACATGTTATGGTTCCTAAGAGCCTGGGAAAAGCAAGGAGTTGCTCACATTTTGATGATATCTCTTACTGTTGGAGATGAAGGACGGTATCCATTCAATCTACATTGTCACAGTGGGAGCTGGAAAAAGGAGGATGAGCAAGTCCTCATCCTCGTCAGGACAGGGTTTTACAGATGCATTTCCTATCCCATAAGTTAATACAGAGCAATAATTAAGAACAAATTAGTACTGATGTGTTGTGCTCAGTGCGAATTGTCAATTTTGTAATTCATCTAGGGTTGGCAGATTGTAAAATATAAGATGCTTAATTAAATTTGAATTTTAGACAAATAACAAGTAATATTTTACTAGAAGTATGTTCTAAGTATGAAACAGGACAAATGTGTGCTAAAATAATATCTGAAGTTCAAATTTAGCTGAGAGTCCTGTGTTTTTGTTTGCTAAATCTGAGAGCCCTCAACTCATCTCATCATACATAATTGCCCCTGATTTTAAGAGAAAATTTACTTTGTTTGAACAAGCTATCTTTCAAAGTTCTTAACTGAATTGAAGCTGTTCTCCTAAGAAACTCTAAAGCAATGTTCTTCCTGTTGTTTTCCAGCTGGATGAAGTTGGCATTTATGACCAACACAACCGGCAAAATTCCAGTTAGGAGGTAAGTTGGTCATGCTTGGCCATACACCCTATCCTTGATCAGCTTTTATGGTACCAAGCCAAAGACAGACTCATCTGCAAGTTCTGTGTGCTAACTGCCTTTAAGATACTTCTGCAAGCTTACCTTGAATTGTTTTGTTTTGTGTTCAATCTGTTAAAATCGTGCGTGGAAGTAACATATCCCCCAGAACAGGTATCATTAACTATGATAGAGAACATTTGAAAAAGTAGCATTATTTCTCAATCTTTAAGGAAGCAGGTTTTGAGAATTTAAATTTCATTTACCTACCTACCTGAGCAACCACTAGCTAACATTAAAGAACACTGCACCTGCAATGGCAGCACAGGGACTATCGAGCAAGTGTGCTGGTTCTGGATGGTGCCTTCCCATTCTTAGCATTGCTGCTCATCTGGTGCTCAGGCAAAGTGGGGCACTGTCATAGCTCAGGCTATGTGACAAAGTGCCTTAGACTAAGTGGCTTACAAACAACAGAAGTTTATTTCTCATAGTTTTGGAGTGTAGAAGTTTTGAAAACAGGGTACCTGCATGGTCCAGTTCTAGTGAGGACCTTCTTCCAGGTTGTGGGCTGCTGCATTCTGGCTGTATGCTCACCTTGTGGAAAGAGGGATAGGAAGCTCCCAGGGGTCTCTTTTATAAGGGCACTCATCCCATTCATGAGAGCTCCACCCTTATGATATAATCACTTCCTAAAAGCTTCAACCCCTCATACCATCACATTGGGATTACGTAGGATTGAACTAGTATTTCAGCAGTACACACACTTCACAGTGCAACTTCCCCCTTCACCCTGCCCACTTTAACAGTGACAAGAGTAAAAAGGCAACAAAATTTAGGTGGAATCAAGAAGGAAGAGGACATAAAGCAGACACATTCTCAACATGTACTGTTTAATAGTTGTGCTGACACACTTTACCTCTGAGGATTCCCCATGCATCTTTCTTTGCTGCTTCTCACCTCCTTTCAGGATTTAGGGTGTGCTAATGGTCTGTGTGTGTCCTTGGAAGCTCTTGTGAGGGTGGTGATGGGAATTCTTGGCCAAACTCTCCAGGATCATTTTGCTTGATGTTTATGTAAGTATTAATGGAAATCCTAGAAGCTGGGTTGGGCATCAAAACATCAGCTGTTCACATTAATTCAGGAGGTTATCTGGATTCATGAGCCTAAGCCATACAATCTGAATCAAACACTGCCTCTCCAGATATAACCCACTCTTCCTGGACTCTCAAGACTTGGGATCATGTTGCCAGCTTCTCTGGACACCACTTTAGCAGAGAAGCAAACTGACAAAGAAAACCTAGATGGAATCCTGTTTTATGACAAATTTATCTTTCACAGTAAGGTAAATAGGTCATCAAGTGTGTGGTATTTGAGTAGATCCACTTCCACAGTGGCCTGCTGGTTACTCTTGGCCATTTCCCACTCTTCTTTTCCTACCTTCCCATCCAGCCACTTCATTCACTCTGGAGCTTTCATTCTGCAACCTGAACCCGGTGCAAGTGTTTCCATAGTCCCTCAACATTATTCTTATCACATTGAACAGAAGTGTCCTAGAGGTGATCATCTTTTAATTCCATAGGTTCTAAGAATCATGAACTTAACCATACAGGTGACATGACTGAAATATTTATGAAAAAACAGAACATCTAGAAACCATGAAAATGACCTCGTGCAGTATTCTTTTTTATTTAAGCTCTTAGGAGTTCTTACTGGGTCACAGACGCCATGGATTTGTTGTACTCTTTACAAATCCATATATAGAATTCTCTAATTTTTATTTAATAACTTACAAGCAAGTCAACTTTGTATATCCTCTTTAGAAGTTTACAAAAAAAACCAAAAACAAAAAAAACCCTATTAGAGGCCTTGCCTAATGGTTGTTGGTAAAGAAACTTCACACTGATCCTTATATTATTTAAAACCTTTTTGCTTGCTTGAGTAATAGTGTGATGATTTTTTTAATGTAACCTAGTAACCTACAGCTATTCCTGTACAGTGCATTTTTATTTAAAATTGATATTGAAATAATCCAAACTTTAGAAAGCACAGATAAGTGTGTGATGAACAGAAATGTAAATTAGATCTGCATTACTGTCCTGCCTTTTCTTCCAAGAAAAGGTTCAGAAAGTGGACAAAGTGGAAATGTGTAGCTTATGATCAAAGTACTTCTATCAGTGCTAATACATTTGCCTGTATCCTTCCCATCAAACCATGGCTGAATGGGCTTGGAAGCCTCTTCTGATTGTGTGTATCTTTATCTACCATGTTCACATACAAAAAGATTACTGCTGTTTTGGTAGAAATAGCCTAGGTGTTTTGGCATCTTCTTTGGCTCTCTTTGACCTGGACTCTTTGGTACTTGCCAGTACCCACAGGTGTTTGACACTAGACATCTCTGAGTTGGGGGCAGTTTGTTAGAGTTGGTGAAGACTTGATACAAAGCCAACAAAAAGCAGATAATTCTACTGGTAGAGGAGCTGCCAAAGTTTAGGTGGAAATTGTCCTGCATGTTTTAAAGGATATGAAGAGTAAACACTTCTAAAATGTCATTTCATCACTGTCATTCTAAAGTTCTAAACATGGAAACTATTAATGTGGTATACATCATGTTAAAAGGGATCTGGCTTATAGTCATTGCATAGTTCAGGAATGGCCCCTATTCTTGAACATCAAACCAAAATGTAATATCCGGGAAATTACGGGAATGACAAATGAAGAAATTCTCACTCTATGGCCTCCTTTTCTCTTTTCTTTTTATGTCCATAATCTTATGCAGTGTAACTTTCTCTCAAATTTATAAAATCAAATTCAGTTAACCCCCAACTTGAACCAAAGCTTTGAAAATAACCTTTTTCTTTTTCTGTCTCCCATCCCTTATAACCTGGAGTGGGATCCAGTGAGAGGGAGTTGAGTAATGGGGAAGCAGACACTGGTTGTAGACAATAGCTACAGAAGATCTTGAAGGAGACAATTGTGTTGAAGTAGGCTAGGAGCCTCAGATATGATCATGGCAGCTCAATTTTACATGGTCCAACCAATATCCTAAAGTTCCAGCAGCCCTATAAGGAAGGTCTAATTCTACAGGGGCAGTACCTCCATTCCCACCTTTCAGGAGTCTTCTGTGATTGTGTCAGAAGATAGTGTTATATATAATCCTTTGATGTACTGCAGACCTTGGGCAGGCAAGCAAAGAGTGGGACTTAATTTCTAGGATGGTTGCTCTCTTTAATCACTCATGAGGCCTATGGAATACAGAATTCAGAGAGAACTCTAATAGGACTGGGCACAATTCAGGAACATACGTTTTTGTAATATTTATTTTGGGAACGGGCAGCAGTTTGTTTTGATTCAATAAAATTTCATTGAGCACCTGTTAGCTAGGAAGTACTAAGTTGTGGGCATGGAGCTGTATATAAGGAATTGGATAAATCACGATCCCTTTATAAACATGTATGTTCCCAGAAAATACCCCATGATGTTGTGTAAAATGTTTCCAGCCTGTGACAAGTGTGTTTCTCTCAGAACTTTTCTTGAAGGGCATCTTTTTGGAAACCTAAAGAATTCACCTTCACTGCACAGCCCCCATGCCTAGTGAGTCCATTTTCATACTCAGGAATGACTCAGAAAGGTGCCTGGAGCCAAGGAAATGGTCTATTTGATTTCCTTGCTCCCACCTGTCTACCTAGGTTTGTTCTCTTTTAGAACAAGGTGAGCAAACCTGATGTCTGGATGCTCAGCCCAAGTATCCTCGTGAAAAGCTGGGCCTGAGAAATCAGCCTCTCCTCTCTCCTTCTTCCTCGTCCATCTTCCTAACACTCTGGTCTCATTTTTAGCACATAGCCAATCACTCACCAAAAGATTCTATTTCCACACACTCTTCTCTTTCTACTTCACCAGAAGAGCTCAGGCTCCATACCTATTGCTTCCTGACCACACTGATTAGTTTTCAGCTCATTACACCAGGGCTGTCCAGCCTTGAATCTGTTGGCATATGCAAGATTGGTATGCAAAGATTTTCCTCCTAATTACAGGTACCTGAACCCACTGAGAGTCTGTAGTTCTTATGTTAACACATACTTTTGTAGAGAAAAATACATGGAATAGCTACTTTACTCTAAATTTAAAAAGGTTAGATAAGTTGCACCTTACCCCAATTCAGTATTTTAAAATTGCATGAACTCTCAAGAATGAGAAAATATGAACACATCATCCCTATACTGGAAATCTGTTAACCAATTTACTTGATGTCACACATCTATGCTTTCCCCATGTCTGTAGGTTCATAGGTCTCCTTACACTTGAATACAACTCTCTCAAGAACTCTTTAACAATGTGCTTTGTGAAGTATTCTTGGACCTAGTATGAAACAATAAAGCTTTCAGTGAACACATAATAATTCATTTAACTAAAGTTCCTTTCTCACAGTCTATTTTGGGAAGTTGTACTCTGCAGTTGAAGTGGTGCTTTCTCCCACTCACCAAGATTAACTGGCTGTCAGTGCTTACATTCACTTAAACATGCACAGTGGAATACAAGAAAAGTTTAGGTGTGAGACTCAGTTAAAACCCTCTAGTGCTCAGCAGACATTCCAAAGCCAAGAATCATAGGTGAAAGTCAGCTCTGCCTTCAAACAAATGCAGGACTACTGAGTTTAGTTTCAGTGGCCATAGTAACACAAGACCTGGGCTTTCAGTCAGGAATTGAACAACATCTCCTTGGGTGGTAAAGGCACAGCATGAAGCCAACTGGGATTCAGGGTACCAGCTCCTAACCTCAGTATCTTTTAAGAATCAGGAGCACATTCTTTTATGAGGGGTCTCTCTTTCCTACTTTTACCAACAACAGGAATTGTGCTCATTAAGATATTATGCATTTAACTAGCTTTGATCTTCCCTGAATGTGTTGAAAAGCTATTGAGAAATATCAGGTCTCAAATCAGAGAACAAAAGAGTGGAATGGGTCCTGCCTATGGGATTGGTACTAGTGGGAGAGGGGACAAAGTGGGGAAAGGGTGTGGGAGGGTGAATATAGTGCAAATACTGTATGTACATGTATGTAAATGGAAGAATGATACTTGTTGAAACTATTCCAGGAATAGGGGAAGGGGAGAATAAAGGAGAACTATGGGGGAAGGTGAATTCAAGTATGATATATTTGTATATTGTAAGAACTTTTGTAAATGCCACAATGTAATGTCACCCAACACAACAATTAAAAAAAAAAAAAGAAATATCATGTCTCAAGTCAGTGCTAAGATTCTATTGAAACAGTAAATAATTGTTCCCTGTCCTGCCCCAACCTTTCATGGTAAAGTCCCTAATCTGGCATTGTAAAGTGACTCAACAGTGCTTAGCATGAAAACAAAATAAAAATATCTGATATAAGTCTCAATTACAGTAAGCATGTAAACCAGCACAGTAGCAATCATAGTTGGGGTTACTCCTTTCCCCAAATCCAGATATTGTCAATGTGAGCTTTGATTCTGGCCTCTATCTGCCACATTCCTTTTACCTAAGAAAGTAATTTCTTAAGTTCAAAATGAGTCATTGTGGGCTGGGCATAGTGGTGCACATCTGTAATCACAGCTACTCGAGACTGGAGGATCTCGGTTTCAGGTCAGCCCAGGCAAAAAAATGTTAGTGAGACCTCCATCTCACCAAAAAATCTGGACATGATGGTACACTTTTATATTCCTAGCTGTTCTGCAGACAGAGGAAAAGGATGGCGATCTAAGGCTAGCCTCAAAAAATGTCTGAGCCCCTATCTGAAAAACAAACTGAAAAGCAAAGGATTTGGGGTGTGGTAGAGTCTTCAACTGGTAGAGTACTTTCCTATTAAATGCAAAGTCCTGAGTTCAAACTCCAGTACTGCCAAAAATAATAATGTGTCATTATCTTTGTCCAACAGTCACTGTCATATTCACAAAAATTTAAGGGGACTGCATGTCTTAGAATCAAGTAGAATCAGCTCTGGTATCTAGAGGGACCTAGGAGGAGCTAGTTTGGACAACAAAAACACCCACAAATTAAAAATCATTTTGTTCTCCTTTCTTTCTTTCCTTCTTCCCTCCCTTCCCTCCTTCCCTCCCTCCCTCCCTTCCCTCCTCCCTCCCTCCCTCCCTCCCTCCCTCCTTCCTTCCTTCCTTCCTTGTTTCCCTCCTTCCTTCCTTCCTTCCTTCCCTCCCTCCCACCCTCCCTCCTTCCTTCCTCCCTTCCCTCCCTCCCTCCTTTCCTTCCTTTCACAATGGGGTTTGAACTCAGGGCCTACACCTTGAGCCACTTCACCAGTCCTTTTTGCTGATGGGTTTTTTTGAGATATGGTCTTGTGAACTATTTGCCTGGCCTGGCTTCAAACTGCAATCCCCCTGGCTCTCTGCCTCCTGAGTAGCTAGGATTACAAGCATGAGCCACCAGTGCCCGGTTTTGTTCCTTTTTTCTTTTTCCCCAGTCCCACCATCACTAAGATCACTTGGATTTTTTACACAGAGAGCGGAATGAGCAATAATTTTCTTTCTTTCTTTCTTGCCCCAGTATTACTAGAACCTTTGCATCGGGGAAAACAGAAAAGGTGATCTTTCAAGCACTCAAGGAGTTAGGTCTTCCCAGTGGAAAGGTATTCATTAACTTAATGTGTTTTTAAAACCATTTTGTTTATTTATGCGCTTACATGTGATAAACTGGATTATTTATATTAAACTGATCTCACTTAGATTTAATAACGTATGGTACAATTTTCTCTTCTCCTTCCTTATCTCTATGCATTTTAACCTAAGTATTCCAAAATTCAGCTAATTTACTTCAAAGGGATTTTTCTCAGGCTATTTTTCACAGTTTATGGAGCTTATTTTAGAGGAGCCCAGCCATACTGTCTCAACCAAGCACAGCGTCACTGGCAACATGAATAATTAACTAATAAATTCACTTTTTGGAGATGGCCTTGCCATATTTTATGAAGCATCTCTCACCAGACCAACCATTTTTGTTCATGGCCCTTCAGATTTAAAATAATGAAAATTAATTTATAGACTGCAAGAACAATTTAAATGTGCGACTGCTTTTACAAGTGCTATTTAAAAGATGCATTTCAGTATGACAAGTAAAATCTTAATTGGTTATCCTAAGCTTCTCTGTGGTTTTGTGAAAATTCACAAAGTAATAAAGCATGATTAAATACTGGTCTTGATTTCCTTAGTATCCTCTAAACAGGCACTTTTCTCCATCAAGAACACAGGGAGAAAATGTTTCTTTATATTTGTTCTTTGGGATGTTTTCCAGTGAAGCTTTGCTGTGGTCAGATGTTTGTAAGCATAAACCTTGTCCTCCTGGCAACTAGAAGTGCTCATTTACATGCTGTCATCTAGCAGTGTGGCCTGAAAGGTGACCTGTAGGCTTCTGGGATTCCAAGTAGTCAATACTTTGTGTTGTGACCTTACATATTATCACCTTACAAGGAAAAAAATGGCCCTATGACTTGTGACATTCTTGTATTCTCCACAGAATGATGAAATTGAGCCTGCTGCATTTACTTATGAAAAGTTCTATGAACTGACACAAAAGATTTGTCCTCGGACAGATATAGAAGATCTTTTTAAAAAAATGTAAGTTCCATTTATAAGGAAGTGTTATATAAATGTTATCCTTGTCCTTTTTAGATTTTTATAACATTTTTGCCATTATAGTTTAAATAATATGTTAGTATAGGAATATCTAGTCAGAGTTACATTTTCACCTCTTAGCTAATCAGTATAAAAGTTCACTCTGAGTTTTAGAGAAACTTTGACATAAATTAACTGCAGCACCTGGAACTTTCTCCCCCTGGCATTGGCTTTACTAACTACCTATAATTTTAACCTGCTTTTTTAGGTATTAACCCATTATGTGAACTAACTAGATTCAATTTGGAATGTTAGTATGTTGTTGAAAAGTTCATTCATTCCAATTATTTCAAATGGATGACTTACATGTTGTTTTGAAATAATTTCTTTTGATAACGCTAAGAAATTGCAGGCATTTTCTGTGACCTAGTGGGAATGTTTTCTTTCCTTTGTTGTTGAGTCTCTCCCCCCTTACAGTCTCTGGCCACTTTAAGAACTCACCACTACTTCAGGATTAGAAAATAAGTTTAGAATAATTATCATCAACGAATGTCAACATGTAAATCGTACCTACATATACAAAAACTTACTTTTTCTAATAAATTTCTTTTCAGCAATGGAGACAAAACTGATTATTTAACGGTAGACCAATTAGTGAGCTTTCTAAATGAAGTAAGCTTTTTCATACATTAACTCCATAAAGTCTGTGTGCAGTGGCTTGCCTCCTCCAGTGTCTTCATTGCATGCCCATGTCATATCACCTTATTTGCGTTGCTTCTGACCTGCTGATCTTTCCATGATGGCTTTACCAGGTGCAAAAATCAGCTGCTTCCCATGTGTTAATGTGCCTACATGTTGGCTTTGCACACCGCTTTTTGTTGGTTTCTCGCTGTGATGTGTAGCTCTGGTTCTGTGTGTATGTGTGAAATTTGTAATATATTTATTTAATTAAATGTGTCTGTGTTTTTGCAAGATGATATTTAAGGTACTTTGTTTGCCTGTTGATTTCATTAAATAGAGAATGGATTGAGTTTATCACACTGTAGTTGGATTCTCCATTGCTAACTTTGTCTCATACCTTTGCATGGACTGGAAAGCTTTATTTTTGTCTTTTAATGGACTGCATGTTAGAAAAATATGTAGGTTCAAAAAGAATATTTTGACAAGTAAAATATTTGAGTTCCTGGGTGAAAATATAGTGAGTCTTAGGCCAATTGGATTGCAGGTTAATTTTTTTTATTTTTTATTTTTATAACAGGCTCAGAGCTAATTTTAGGACATGATTCACTTAACAACCAAAACTGGTTGACAAAATTTGCTTAAGCACAATGGAAAAATGTTTTTGAACAAGTAAAGGTTGCAACTTTTATTACAACCAAAATAAACCTTTTTCATTACATATACAAAAGAGTGCTTTCAGCAAAACCCACCAAGGCTATTATTAATCCAAAAAGGAAAATGTAGTTTTTCTCCAACACATGAATAATAACAGTTTGAGTGAGGGACAGGAAATATGTTTTTCAAAATAATTTAAGTTAATCATCATAACATATGAGAAAAATGTTAGAAAAGCACAGTGGCTCATATCTGTAATCCTAGCTACTCAGGAAGTAGAAATCAGAAGTTCGAGGTCAGCCCAGGCAAAAAGTTAGTAAGGCCCCATCTAAACCAATAGCTGGACATGGTGGCACATGCCTGTTATCACAGCCGTGCCAGAGGCATAAATAGGAAGATTGGAAGATTGCTAAAGCAAAAAGGGCCAGGGGTGTGGCTCAGGTGGTAAAGTGCCTGCCTAGCAAGCAAGCATGAGGCCCTGAGTTCAACCTCACTACCACC